CTTCCCTAAACTGTAAAGTCCAAGGGCACTGCAACCACACACTGCCCGGATGCTTTCCATTGTCAATAACTCTCACTTACTGAGACATGACCCCATGGCAGCCAAAGTTCAAAGTTCCCAGAACAGTTGTTTTTTTTTTTCTTTTAAAGCATCATTCTTCATGCACAAGACTAGAAAGTGGTGAATAAAACCCTCCCCCAGGCTGGTCTGTGACTGGAGCCTGGAATGCATCAGAGCGGCCCGGCTGGCTCGTGATTCCAGACGAGGAGAGCAGGGCTCTGGGATGGGTAAGCCATTAGATATCACTCTGACCAGTCAGAAAAGCCACCTGGAAAACCGCAGCTAAAACTTCTTCCAGGAAAAACCGTCTGCATTTAGCATGGAGGGAACACAGAAACACTGGCTTTGGGGCACTAAGATTCGTCACCTGCTGCGTGATTTCATCTTGCATTTTTTTTACAAGGCCGTCTTATTTCACCGTGAAGGCTCACCTAAAGCTGGCTGCTAATGTCCTGAATCAGGCACATCCACCTCTTCACCTCTAATTACTAGGTCTTTCCCCCATAGTTGTCCTTGTCACCTCAGAGTAGTTATCACATAACCGCAGACTTGTTCAGTTACAAATGGCTGTCAAGAGCCCAGGGGGCCCCTCACTCTTGACCCTACCCTAATCTTGAATTGTTCACAACAAGTTTCAGTGACCTTTGGGACAATTAACCAGTCTGTGTTCCAGCCCTGACTCTCAGGACTCAGAGCGACGCTGTTGTAAAGGCTTCCTTGTGTTCTCCAAGCAGAGAGCGTCAAGAAAGTGGATCCAATTAGAGACACTCACTCCTTTTTTATTTCCAAATCTCTTAAAAACCCAGCAGAATAAAAGCAGCCTGTGGTGTGCCACCTGCAGGGGCATTTAATTTCTACAATTTCTCCTAAGAATATACATCCCATGCAAGACCCTTAATCCATTAAAATATATACATTTAAGAGCTTGGGAGGTGACCTGGTGGTTAAAACACTGGCTGCCCTTGCAGAGGACTTATGTTTGATAGCAGCTCACAACCATCTGTAACTCTAGTTCCAGGAGACCCAATGCTCTTTTCTGACCTCCACGGGCACCAGGCATGCATGTGATGCACAGACATACATGTAGGGAAAACACACACACACACACACACACACACATACACACATACACACACATATATATTTAAAAATTAATGCTCCATGTCCCAACTTACAGAACTTGAACCACATTTCTTCCTCAGTCAGGTATTTGAGTCCATGGTTTACAGAAAAAAAACCACTTTATTTAAACATATCTTCAGGCTTTGTAGTGCTAAAAAATGTATTTCATATAGAGTAGCTCCCAAATCCAGTGATAATTACAAACACACTATTTTGACTGCAACCACCACATCTTAACTCCACTGCCACAGGGACTACCTCCTGGCCATAAGGACAGCTGCCAGCTACCAAGAGGTGCCCCACAGTGGAGATGAGGATGCAGCACTTGCCAGCTCAGAGACACCTGCCCTGAGTGCTCCTACAAGGCAATAGGGCCGTGAGTTCCCGCTGATCTCATCACTGCCAATCATTTACATAGTCAATGAAATTCTCCAAGTTCTTACAAAATCTATGGTGCTAGCAGGTGAAGAGTGGACAGATCCTAACCTCCAATACCTTACCCCCACTCCCCACCCCCGCCTCCGTGGTCCAGACTCAATGGGAGAGGCATATTCTCCAGAACCGTGGTGTCAGGCAACACCTAAACATGAGTCCCAGTATGCCGCAGGAGGCTGCCTTTTAGTAGGTTCCTCAGTATGGTTTAGTCTAACGGGCATCTGACTTTTGATAGTGTACTGTTGTATCGAATACACACTGGGTCACACTCACAGCGATCCTGGGACACACACAGCCTGCTGGCCCTAGGCTGGACACCTCCGGAGAGGCACTGGAGGGAGGGCACATGCAGGACTTGTCTGTCACATTCTAAGTTACTGCTAGAGCCCTCTCCCCTCTCCTATACCTGTTTCAAAGTGGAATCTGACGAGAGGGCATGGGAGGGCAGTGAGAAAGTCTCTTTCTCAAAGTCTCTGAGAGGTCAAAAGGCTGTGACAGCAACAAATGGCTCGGGGTAGGTGAGCAACGGAGGTGGCCCAGAGCCTGAGCCGCCCTGATGGCTACTCAGGTGGGCACGGTTGTTTCGGCTGCTGTTTCTCAGTGGCATGGCTCTTCGGAGTGATCTAGAGAACTGCATTTTCTGCATTTCTGCAGCAGCGTAGGGAGGTGGACAGAAGTCTGTGGTCTAGCAGGTGGCAGCTGAGAGGCGGGGACCCAAAATGACATAATGAATGACATCACACCTTTCCCGCCGTATCCAGGGGCACCTCCAATGCGCCCTCCAGGGCCCTTTCCTTTCTGCTCTGCAGACCCCAAACCAGCTCAGCTCAACTAGGAAGACTTCGCCCAAGAGCAAGGGCTTGACCATGTGATGTGAACAAACTCTTCCAGAACACCGCAGTCACCACCCCTTGATGCTCAGCCATTGACAAAGCTCAGCAGAGACAAAGCGCGTATACACACACACACACACACACACACACACACACACACACACCCCTTCGAAGAACAAGTAAATCCATAGCACAGCCTGGAATGCCACATGCACGGTGTTCCTTTCTGCTGGACGCCCAGAGAAGCAAACTGTTAAACAGCACACACTTCTCTCTGGAAGCTCCTACTGAAACCCACCTGCAGCTGGAGGTACCCCTCAGCACAGCATGTGCTGTGAACCTGCACCCCTGGACTTGATGTTCAACAACCAAAACCAATGCAGAAACCTCACAAAACCCCAAAACAATAACAAAGACCCTCTTATCACCAAGTTGGAGATTTAAATTCTCTGCCTAATTTTCTCTAAGCCCATGACCCTTAAATGATCTAGTTTATTCTGCACATTAAAAAGGCTAAAGGCAGACAGCAAATGTTTGTCCCACACACAGAAACTACGGCTTATTTATTTATTATTTTTGAGGCAGGGTCTCTCTATGTAGCCCTGGTTAGCCTGGAACTCACTATACAGACCAGTTCCTGGAACTCACAGGGATCTATCTGCCAGTGCCTCTCATGTGCTAGGAGTAAAGACATGCACCACCACCATGCCCACTGAAATGATATCTTTTAAAACAGTGCCTACCAAGTTACCAAAATCAGAAATAAAAACAGAGACCCTCTCCCTTCTACCACCAAAAGCAGACATTCAACCGGCCACGACCTTAGCTGTAATGCCACAAAGCTAGGACAAACATCAGCCACTAACACCACCACCACTCCACACAGAGGCTGCCAGAGCAACCAGGGGCAAGGGAATTTGTTGGAATTAAAATCTATTTATGTCAAGCAAAGAGACATTTCAATCAATGTTTTAATAAAATCGTTTCAAATGATATTATAAAACCACAAATGATCATAACATTAAAAAAGAGGCCACAGGGGTCCCTAGGCACAAACGGCTAAGACACTCATTCTCTCACTACATTCTAGTCTCTTCATCTTTTAACCATTATGAGGAGAGTTATAAACGTCTTTTTTTGTTTGTCTGTTAGCTTTGCTATTATTGTTTGCTTATTTTATTTTTTAAAGAGAGGGTCTTACTGCATAGCACTGACTGGTCTAAAACACTGTGTAGATCAAGCTGGTCTTGAACTCACAGAGATCCTCCTGCCTCTGCCTCCTGAGTACAAGGATGAAAGGCGTGCACTACTATGTCTATTTATTTGTTTTTGAGACAAGGTCCCATGTGGCCCAGGCTACCCTCAAACTTATCATATATTTTTGATTCTCCTACCTCTGTCTCTTCAGTACTGGGATTACAAGCACGTGCCATCCCTCCACACCTGATTTATGTAGTGCGTGGGATCAAACCGAGGGTACAGTGTGTGCTAGGCAAGCACTACACCAACTGAGCTCCAACTCCAGCTGTTTCCTATATTCCTGCATGAAAATTAGTTTCATGAGCAAGTCCGTGACTGTCTTATTCATGAATGACAAAGAAGCCCCTAGCAGCTATACAGTAAGCATGAATCAAATGAATTATACACTCACATATATCTATTTATGCATTGGCTAAATACTGTATCTAAGCCTAGTGGGATATTACACAGACACTTTAAATGAAGCAAAGATACATTTTATTCACATGAAAACATTTTTCCTCAACCTAATAATTAATAAGGCATTATAAAAGTCTATGTAGAAGGAACATGTTTTCTCTTCTCCCATCTCTTTCCACCCTTTAAACACATACATACACATATACACACACGCATGCATGCACAATTTTTAGGACTCTTTAATTTATAGTCTTGACAAGCATAAGTTAAAAAGAACGACTGAGCCAGGAATATAAAGAATTCAAGAATAGCCTCTGCTTCACAGCAAGATCCAGGCTAGCATGGGCTACATAACAGGATCCTGCCCTACTAACAAACACTGGGAGTCTGGTGTGTTTTCCATACATGTTTAAGATGTGGGAAAAGAAACACTTTGCTTTCTATTGCCTTTCATTTACCGTCAGGCCCACTCTCCCTGGACTTTCAAGTGGCCGCTAAGGACTGTTCATCTGACTGTTTCTTGGGTCATCCCTGCCATGGCTGACGATGAAACTCACCAACCACGTAGTCAAATTTATCTGGAAACAACTCGAAGACATCAGGCCAGCCTTACCAGTCAGTTTATAACCAGTCAGTAAGACTATTTCTAAAGCAATGCCATCTCCTTTTAAAAAGCACCAAAGCAGTCTGCTGTAAAGAACTGAAGTTCCCAGGGAACACACACTCAGAAATGAAACACGGTTCCATCCATTTGCCTGGCTTTCCAAGCCCTGAAAATGCATTTACTATTTCATCATAAAATAATCTACCCGACCCCCCGGCCTCCTGCTAGTGCAACCAAAGACAGACTTTATAATATTTCCGTCTAGAAGTTCCACGAGTCCTCTTTACCTGTGATGACAGCGTCTTGTCCCTGAGCTTGACTTGCCACAAACGTCAGTTCCACCGGGAAGACAGGGCCTTGAACTTCAGTCTTGGCTGTAGGACGTTAAGGAAGGAATCAGTCACAATATGTTCTCTGGATCCCCCCCAACTCTCCGCCACCTTGGGAAAGTCACTGTGACCCTGCTGCCTGCAACCACTACAGTGTTCCAGGGTCGCCCAAGAAAGTTCTGAGTTCCTCCCCCAAGAAGTGCTAGGAGGGGAGAGGTTGTTCCCAGTTTCCTTTGGGAAAAGGAGTGGGCTGGGTTTGCAGTGGGTGAGCAGCTCCAACAGTAGCAGAGTGCCCCTCAAAGACTAAAACATTATAACACCATAGGTTTTCTTAGAAAGAATCTGAACTTCAGAGAAACACCTTCTTCCCTTTAAATTAAAAAAAAAAAAAAAGTTTGGGAAAAGGAGGAGTGCAGTTGTTCCAGGATAGTTGGAGTGGGTACTGGGGCAGAGTCACCCTCCCGACTAGCACACTGGCACTCTAGGCTCCCTTTATCTCTAGCAGGCTGGCCGCACAGCAAGAGGTGCTGAGAAGACTTAAGTTGCCCTACACAGGACCCGCTGTGGCACTGGGCTCTGGAGAGGCAGAGACACAGGGTGGCTTTGGGAGACTCTACCCTTCTGCTGGGGCCTGTCCCCCATCTCCCCACTAGACGCAATGTGGGAACTGGTGCTCAAAGAGGGTCGGCTGCTGGTGACAGGAACCCACCGGCGTTTCTCTAGTTCCACGGGAGTAGCCGGGCTCAGTGATCCCAGAATCAGTCTGTCTGGTCCTCAGGTTACCTCGCCTCTGAGATCCCTGAGGGTCTTAGGAAACGCCCCCCGGTGGGTGAAGCCCAAATGCACCACGCCGTGGGAAGGACGCGCCCCGATGTCCCCGCCCGTAGGCCCTCCCCTCCAGGGGACAAGCAGAGGACCCAGCGTCGCTCCACTTCAAGGACTCCGCGAAGCCCCCCAGCCCCACTACCAGCTGCGAACAGAGTTCGGAGCCGGCGCTCGGCACTCGCGGGGACCCGAAGTAGCGGACAGTTCCGTGGGCCCCGAGAGTCACACACGTTCCCAGCTTGTGCCCTCGCCGGTGCCTGTGGGTCTCTAGACCCGCGCCCCTGATCCGCGCGCATGCGCCACCGAGCCCCTCCTCTCCCTGTCCACCCACTTTACTGTCCCGGGACAGGGGACGCCTGGCTCCCGCCCCCGCGCGTGCCCTCCCGCCCCCGAGCACCTGAGGCTGCGCTCCGCCTGTGGGTCCGCGAGACCAGCGCGCCCGGGGAGG